GTACTCCAGCTAGTTTCAGAGGACGGGTACTCCAGCTAGTTTCCAGAGGACGGGTACTGCAGCTAGTTTCATTAATGTTGCATTATATGTTTAATTATTTAACTCTTGTCCGTGCAGTTGTCGTACGTTCTATCAGCAGTTCTTAATATTACCATTTATTATGGAAACTTATTTTTCTCTTGTAAACAGTTCTCGCAAGCTATTATATTATTATCATAATGGAAACTAACAATAAGAGCTTTATTTTTATCGTTATGTATTTATCTTAATAACATTCCCACGATGTCTGTAACCAAGTTATACACTGACTAGTTTTTATCGGGATTTCCTCAAATTCATTGATTCCAAAAGCGCTGCTGTATCGTATCGACATTCAATTTTACAAACATGTTGACCTTGCAGTGTTGCTGGACTCTTTATTTGGTGCTTCTAGATCTTTCTGACATTCTATAGATATATTATTCCCTCTCTGACAGTCATATTTTGATTAATAAATTTCTTTGGCAGTTTGTGAGGCAAGTTAAATTTGAGTATATCTTTTGTTATACGAGTTTTACTTCAAAACTAAGATACATTTTATATTTTTCAGCATAAAATTTCTGTCCTGTTGCTTATATCTATTTTTCTGCGCGGAATGGTTTTCTCCTTCAATTAGTATATATATATATATATTTCCATGAACAGTAATGAGGATTCTACTGTTTCAAGCAATGGACATAATAAAAATTGCTAAATGTTACAGACGATACTAGTCCAAAATAACTTATCTTAGATGCAAACAGAAAAAGATTGGCTGAACTGGTGCTTTGGATGCAAAATATAAAGAACAAATGACAGGATCGTAATGTATAAACTTTAACTATAGGGTGAAGATATGAAGTATCTTCACCCTAATGTTATTCCACCTTCTAAAGGAATCAGATAAACCAACTATGTTTACCCACTCTCTTACACTACCTCCAGCATGATATTTTGAAGAAATAGCATGCTGGAGGTAGTGTAAGAGAGTGGGTAAACATAGTTGGTTTATCTGATTCCTTCAAAAGGTGTTTCTCGACATTTTTCAAATCATGTCCACAACGTTGAATTTCCACCTTGGAAGACAAGGGTTCTTAGGAGACAGTAATTTATTCAGAACTAGTTCAAGTGACATGACAACGGTTTCGGCACTTTCCTTCGTCAGCACAGTTATGGATTTCAACATCGTGTATGGTACCTTAATCAACTGCCAATGTCTATGAATCAATCGTAAACCACATTTCTCGAAGAGTATAACCGAACAAGACACCTTATGTGGAGTATAACCCAAGCTATTATGGTGAGATATCAGGTGGAGTGTTGGTCCTATAAAGTGGCCAGTCACTGTTTATTATAGGACGGTATTAAACCTACTTACCGTACTCTTCATCCAGATGTATTACGATGCCATCGTCACGACTCCACGACGTTACCTTGGCAACCCCTTTTAGAAAAGGTGGTATTTGACATCTGAGGACTGCCGTGTTTCCCTGAGTGATATAATCACTGTACACTCGAACGTTGTACTTGTTGTCAATGACTACAAGGAGAATTTAATTGAAACATCATTAGCTAAGGTTAATGAAATATATTAATATGTAATTATTAATTATTTTTATTGATTAGTAGGGACGATAAAGTAGATATAATAATTAATTAATTAAAGCCACTTAAAACAGACTGTATTGTAAGTTTTTATCACATCCTTTTCCACACTTAGAAATTTTTCCAATCTAAAATTGTTATACGACCAGAAGATAACTTATATAGTTTAAATGAATGTAAACTCCTGAAACTATAATCTAAAATTGTTATACGACCAGAAGATAACTTATATAGTTTAAATGAATGTAAACTCCTGAAACTATAATCTAAAATTGTTATACGACCAGAAGATAACTTATATAGTTTAAATGAATGTAAACTCCTGAAACTATATGCTTTAATATCTCCACCAATTAAATGGGAAGGAACGTTAATAAGAGCAGCTTACTGTGAAGCTCGAGGTTTTATTAAGGTAACTCAGCAGTACAAACCAGATACCCTGACCTAGAGACTGAACTGTTATATTACTCTGTTAATCATACACTGTTAAAACTACGTGATTCACTGACAGCACAGGAAACGCTAACACTCGCTAGTTACTTCTAAATACGTTAGTTTTATTATATTAATTACACTGGTACTTATTACAAACTGTATATGGTGTAATCGCTGTTTCATTGAAACTATGCAGGGAAAGAATAACCTCTAGTAAATTAAACTGATTTTAATCAGTAACAGACTAAACATAGTAAACATTACATTCAGACACTGTAAGAATAGTAAACATTACATTCAGACACTGTAAGAATAGAAAACATTACATTCAGCTACTGTAAGAACAGTAAACCTTACATTCAGCTACTGTAAGAACAGTAAACCTTACATTCAGCTACTGTAAGAACAGTAAAC